ACGTAGTAGCCGAACCAGTGTCGTCGTCGAGAATGAGCTTTTTTGCGAGCACGATGAGCAAAGGAAGAAGAAGAAGCAGCGAGACGTAAGTGCACTCCCATACAGCCGGTTTTCTGGCGCATAACGCGCGTTCCTCTCCGTGGTTCTCCAGGCGAAAAAGGAAGAGAATTCTCGGTGCGGTGTCTCGGTGTTCGGATTTCATGGTGCCAGGCCAGAAGACAGAGAAAGTCTCAACTCCCGTCGTCGGTGGCGAGAACGTGGTGACAAATTAAAATGGGCGAGAGAGGCAGGTGGTACTATCTCGGTGCTTCGTTTTTAAAGTTATGTATGCCGGGCCAGTTTTCGGTACCATGTGCCGTAAGAAGAGACATTGCAATTCGTATCGTCGCAAAACATAAACTTCTGAAACGCTGTTTCTTTTATTAATGAGTCTTGTCCATACAATGACCAAATGCTCGAATATACGTCGTGAGTGATAGTTCACTTTCCTGCCCCCGAGTCCCGTTCATATCAATCGGAAATATCTCGATCGATATTTGTATGCAATGCCTGACCTCGATAGTTACACAATAATTTATTAAAAAATCATAAATATGTGCATTTAATTTAGTCATTAATAAATTATGTTTTTATTGACCTGCAGTAAGGGAAGAGGAAGCGAGCGGAAGTTGGGATGGGAATGGAAGAGGGAAGAACTGGAAACGATAAAACGGTTCACATGTCTGCAGATATTATTTTAAAGAGGTAGACGTTTGGAAGGGAACATAAGGGAAAAAGAATATAAAGAAAATACAAATTTAAGAATGAAAAAGGGTGGAAAAAGAAAGGGGATGTGGGGAAGATAAGGATAAGATATATAAAGTCAGTATTAAGCTTGGATAGATATACATACTGGACTACATGGTATTGAAAGAGATGCAGAGAGACAGGATAAGAATTGAGGCAGGACAGAGGGCAATGAAGTTCGAGGAGAAAGTAAAGGAAGAAGAGAGAAGAGAAAAGGAGAGAAGACCGAGCGAGAAGGGTATTCACGAAGAGTGAGCCAATTTGGAGTCGAACAGCTTAGAAGCGAAGGTCAAGAGACAAACGAAAAAGCTAAGGGAAGAGAAAAGCAAATACAAGTCCAATATAACAAGATAAGAGGTGCAAAGTATAATGTGAGGTACAAGCAAATAAGGACAAATATACGGGCGAGATATTTGGAAAAAACTGGGGATGGAAATAATCAACAGCTCACAGCAAGGGCGAGATGTGGTAATATAAAAAGATGGAATAGGTTTTGGCTATGGGCACTGAGAAGAAAGGAAGTGCGAGATTTGCCATGAAGGATAGAGCACGTTGGAGCATATGGTTAGAGTGTTAGAGAATGCAAAGAACTGGGAAGAGGGAACTTCAGAGTGAATGGAAGGGAAAGAGAAGAGGTAATAAAATGGCTGAGGGAAGTGGAGAAAAGAAAGAAGGAGCAAGAGAGAAAAAAGAAAGTCTATTCGAGGGGACAGGTGAAAGGATAATAAGAGAGAAAGAGCAAGAGTGAAGAAATTAGCCCAAGTGGAATAAGTAAAATTATACGCTTATGTATAAGTATAGTCATTAGATTAAGCAAATTTTCAGGGTTGTGGAGCCGAAAATAAAGATATGGTATGTACAAATTACGTCTTTATATAGTTTCTGATATAATAAGCTCTTTTTCAAAATAAAAAATCTTCTTGAAATGAGATGAGAAAGGTAAGCGGGCAGAAGGTAAAAAGAGAGGAGGAACGTAAATGACGATGAAAGAATAAAGGAAAATGTGGAAGCACGATAAAGAGAAGAAACAAGAAAGATAGATAGAAGATGGTAAACGAAGCAGAAAGATTATTATAGAAGAGAAAGAGTTTAAAGAGAAAAGGAAAAGAGTACAAACCTAATTCTAGCAATATGAAACGATACATAAAGAAACGCAGTGAAATAGGAAGAAAAGAAAAAAGTAGTTACAAAATGGAAAAAAGAAAGGAAGAATGGAAAGGAGAAGTGAAAGGAAGAGTGGAAGTAGAGAAAGCTGCGAGAGAGAAAGAAGGAGAGAGAAAATGGAATCGACGGTGCGTGACCCCCTTGGGAAGGGTCAAGTAACGGAAGTAGAGCTCGGCTCTCGACCCTCGAAAACCAGTGGGTCGCAGGGATGAGCACCAAATTAACCGGCAGTTCAATCCAACTGGCATCCCTCGATATATAGGCATCATCGACATGGATCATCGTTCTGCACCGTCACCATATGTCGTGCAGGTGAAGACACACGGTACGTGCCAATATCGAAAAAACGTGACTAGCAACTACACGCCTTACCCTCTGACTGATCGTGCACCCTCAAAATGGATGGAATGCGACAAATTTCAAAATTACCGAATTAAGATTCTGAATTTGGTTATTGTTCGATAGAAGATTGAGATTAAGATTTTTAGAAATGAATTTATTCAGACTAAAAGAAGATAATCTTTTATTTTCTTAAGGTATTGACATATATATATATATATACGTGGATATCGGAAGATAAAATTGATTATTTATAGAAGAATTTTGGGAATGTTTGTTTATAATATAGTATTCATTGTATTTTTCGAATTAATCTTTTTTATTGAAACGAACCAAATATTTCCAAATTTTTTTTAATTTTATTTATATAGTGGACGAAAGCGACACAGTGAGTTCGTAGAATCGGCCAACGATTAAAGTTTTCGCTAAATCGCTTCCATCCATTATGCGTGCTTTTTCCTTGGAATTTTACACACATACTTAACGTATATATTGCCATCTTGCTAAAAGTATGTAGAACCAGAATAGCAATATAAAATACAATAATGATATAATTCAGATACAAAGGAATTCAGCTAAATATGTAACACGCAAACTAACAGGAAGGGGTGCAATCATTCAAATCGCTTTATCCAACTACAATCCCATTAAGAATGGTCGTTTCTCATTAAAAATCATGATAAATGTTCTCATTCAAATTGACGACAGTATTTTATCGAATTCGATTATTTTATCTTTTCTTCTTGCCAGTTTAAATCGATAAAATTGCAAAAATCAAAAGAAACATTTGTTTGATCAAACATCAAGGTTCCTTAAACTAAAAACACGTTGTAACAAAGTATAAGCAAGGCACGAACAAAATGAAAAAATCAAAAATAACATTACAATACGCGAAACAACTGAACTCGGTTCGGCTTTAACGCCAATGTCGCGTGATGATCCCGAAATGGATTTACACGGATATCGAGGGACAAGCGACGCTCCGGCACCGTCAAAGCAAAAATTTTCCCCAGGGACGATGTTCCCCTTCACTTTTGTCATTAAATGCGCATTACCGCGCTGCTTGCATCGCAATCGACTCGTCCACGTGACTTTTAATCGAATCGATCGATATCGTTACACGCGTGTTTCGTTCCGTACAGACATTTAACGACGCAAAAGTAAAATCGTCTACTAGACAATAGAACTACCTCATCCTCCCCTCTGTCTCTTCAGATCATATTTTCCTCCACTGCAGCCTGTCCTATTGCTATATCGATAATCCTTATTAATCTCTAATTAGCAATCACGATAGTTAAAATAGTTTCTCTCATTGTTTGTAATCTTCCGCCCGTTTTAGAATGGGAAATAAATTTTATGACAATCAGATGATTATAAAATCGTTGATCAGTGTTTAGATTCCTTCTTCGTTTTAGAAAACCTTTACAAAAAACGTAGTATTTTATGGATCAAGATAATCGGAAATTCGAGAGAGCTATGCGAAGCAATCAATTTTTAACGTTATACGAAATAGAACCTATTCTTTCCACTTTTGTGTAGTGAACAGTTTTTTTATCGTTTAATCACGATAAATATTTTTTTGGTTTATATCTTGACTATAAATCTGTCGTAGGAAATACATATCAACGGTTCTATATGCGCATGTTCTCGTGCAAAAGCTCATCAAATCGAATGTCGGGTGGAAAACCAAACATCAAGATAATTAAAAGTCGCATTTTTCTTTCTTTATCTATAATAATTGAGGCTTTCTACAATAATGACGCAACTGCATGTATACAGGTGCTCAGCATTACGGAAACACCGTACATCAACGTCACTTTCGTCCAGCTCATATTGTATGCACGCATCAACGATAAACCTGCGAAATCAGCCTAACTGAATTGTTCATTCTTACGTACTATGTTCAAAGTAAATTATGTACACGTTTCTTAAAGAAGCTATATAAAATTTGAAGCCGCTAAAAGTTATAAATTAAATAATTAAATGAATATATATACTCGTTTTCGATTTAAGATAAATGAGCTCTTCGCAAGCTCGTCTAAGAAAGTATGATTCTGTCATTGGTAACTAACAGAGAAACAATTTCTTCACAGGCTAAGAAAGCCCAGTTCTCTCTCGAATGTTACGATACATAGGAAAAACCAGAGACTTGTACAAAAAGTGCAAAAAGCTGATGAAAAAAAGATTGTCATCGAGGCGTTGAGGCGTGAGAAATGATGGGAAATTGTGGTTAAAGTTAACGACGCGAGTATATACATGCAGCAGCAGGGATTGTAAGACAACCAGAGAATATGCGGGTAGCACGATCATTCCTGCGCAACTTTGAGTACAGCCGATTTTATACCTGTACGAGAGCCAGTTGTCGGTGTCTCGGAACGTGCAGCTGACCGTTTTTCATTGCCACCTGTACAGTTCGTCTTCTTTCGTGTATACTTTTCCGTTTTGTGGTCCCATACGGGTGAATTTTAAGAATCAAAGAGAGAATTGCGTTCATTTGCCGCCCGCAGCCGAATAAATTGCATCTCCAAATTGTTCTGACATCGATATCGTCACTGTTGAATTTTTGCAATATGACCGTTTTCGTTTACTTTTACTGGTTGATTGGATACTTTTCGGTAGTCGATCAATGCTTATTTATTTTATTTATATATTTCGAATGATCAACAAAGTACGTCAATTACGAGCTAATTAATTGATAACGTTGAGTGCCGTTTTCATTACTCAAGATCCATCATCTCGCGTTTAATGGTATTCTCAAAAGGAAGATTAATAGGAGCAGGTAGGCAGTTTGAAAAGTGAAAAATAAAACAGGTGCAACGTACAGTCCGGCAGCTAGACTCGTCTCATCTTCGCTGATTTATCGGCGACCAACAAAGTGTATCCTATACTTCACCTGTTGTCCTGACAGCTAACTTCATCCCTGGGCTACACACTTAAAAATTCTACTCGATAACATACATAAAACGAATTATTTAAATTTATTCAAATTTTCGAGTATTATTAATTTCCTCTTCTAATTAGCTCTTTTAATTTCCTAAATTTATGCGGCAAACTCTTTTAAACTATCGAATATTTTAACGTACATCTTTTAGAATAAAAAATCATATATTATGTATGAAAAAAGTCTTTCGCACACACGTGATAGATATATCGCAAATTGTTACTTAAATATCGATAAGCTATCAAAAAGTACGAGCTTATCATTCAACCTTTCGATAATAGCATTTCGATGATACCATCGGCAATACGAGGAAGAAATCGTAAGAAAAAGCAAATTTGTATCGCTATTCTATTTATTTTAGTTCAAACCTACTACAGCGAGCATGTTAGTACGTTCGTCTGACAATCGTATTCTTCGATCAAATAACATTTTCTGCAGTTTTGAAAATAAGGGATTGTTAGATACAGAGTATGCAGGTGCGCACAAGTAATCGGCTGCAATTTTTGAAAGGTTTGGAAACATCACGTGTCCCGTAGTACTCCACCATGCGATCGGATCGTCTTTTCTGTTAATTATTTTCAAATTTATATATCTAGAAAAACAAACGAAAAAAGGTTACAAACGTGTATTGTACCACTAAATCGTAAAAAGCTACACGATTTAATTTCTACGTTTGTATATTACCTTTCCAACTCGTGCCTTGATGGACAATTAATAACACAGTTGTCAGGTTTAACGCCCAATTCCTCAACCCTTTTATCAAACGCCGCCCATAAAATATTTGTTTCCACATTTTCATCGTTCGTTTCCGGACTATCAATCGTAGATTCATCAGAATTAGTGTTTTCATCGTCGGAAACGTTTGATTTCGTCAATATATTCTTCACATTTTCGATACATTCCTTGGAATGAAACGCAACGTCCTTGTATCTAGGATCCAAAAACGTGGCGATGGCGTAGCCGACCGACTCTTCCACGTTCTTAAATCGTGCACAGAAACATCTCAACAAATTGTCACGGAACAACGCGCCATCGGCTGACAAATCATCCATATCTTTTAAAGCAGCCTCTATACCATGAACGATAGGTATTATTTTCGAAATTGTCACGTGAAGATCAGAGAACAATTCTTTCGTCGCTTCGTGCAACGGCCGCAAAACTTTGATTATCTCCGAAATTATATTCCATTCAACTTCCGACACGGCTGCTACATCTCTGTCAGGTCTTTCGTATATCTCTGGCGACGTCTCAAAAGTTGCTTCCCATTTAGATAATGCGCCCTTCTCTGCGAAATCTTTCGATAAAACAGGTTTTAATTCGCACATGTGGTTTAGCATTAAATACGCGGAGATCCAAGAATCGGCCGCATCCCCCCATAAGTTCAACATTTTCGAAGAATTTGCAGCAAATCGCTGCGAAGCCGCAACAGCTTCGTTAATTTTAGAATCGCGAACAACGTCTCGGCACTTATTTATCACGTCAAATACAACTTTCGTGTTTTTCATCGCAATCTGTACTACACGGTTCAACGTATGACCAAAACAAGTGTTATGCGTGGCGTACGTCATAGTACAATACGTGTCGTTGTAAGTGACGACGTTTATTTTCGAACAGAATTGCCAGAGTTTACCGATTTCGTCGAGCTCGCGTAATATGGGAAACTTGTCGTCCGTTGATCGAAACGAGATCCTCAATAACTTGTGGTGTTGGACTCTATCGACACAGAAATGGACGCTTGTCGCGAGAATCGAGCCACTGCGCTTCGTATTTTCCTGCGAACTAATCGCAACGTTAACACACGTCGCTTTCGACAAACTTTCCTTGATCTCCGTGCATTTGCGCGCGTACGAGTCTGGCAAGTATTTCGAGATCAAAATACTTCTCTTTGGTATTTTGTATTTTTCGTTCAACGTTCTCACGAAATTTATGAATCCTTTGCCATTGATTATCGAAAACGGAAGCACGTCTTCTGCTATCATTTGTACCAAAGATCGAGTTATCTCGCCTGCTTCTGTGAAATTCGAAGACGATCTTCGCAGCGCATCGGACATTTCTGACGGAATTACCGCTCTGTATTTGGTCTCTGACGAACTGGATGCAGTTGTACGAGCTTGTCCCGCTTCTTTCTTACAACTAGACGAGTTCATCTCGAGAACGTCTTTGTGGTGTGTGCGGAAGTGCGACCACAGATTCGTCGTGTTTTTACAATAAGGCACTATGAGATTGCACTTGTTGCACCTGACGATTGCGTTTAATCCATCGTTTTGGTATACTATGGAAAAATGCAGCCAAATGGCACTTCTTTTCGCACGAATCTTAGGCATATTCGATCATCGATGGTAAAACTTTGCCGTAAAACTTGTATCTTGAAATCACTAGCGTTAACAGTTCTTGTTAATATATTTGTTGATATAATTTCTGTATCATTAGTTCTCGGTTCTTTCGTTAGAAATGGTATTACTGGCTCGATGCTGCACGCTTAAAACTCTACTACGAAGATGCTACTAAAGATTAGCGATAAGGTATCGGTAACTTATCGATAATATTATTAAGATATCGATAACACGTATAAAAATAAATGGAAAATTTTGTAGCGTATCCACAAATAGAATTTCAACGCAAGATTAAACGAGTTGGAAAGAAACGTTCAAGTAAAAACGTAGCATAACTGTTAAATTCATTTTGCGTTATATTTTAAATGATAAAATACGGTTCTTAAGTACTTTGATAGAATTCGTGCTGCTACTTTAGATAAAGATTATTCCTCATAAATTAGATTAGAAGCATGCTACGAGATGAATGCGAAAATAAATAATTCAGAGAAAAATGTAACTTATCGTATTTCGTCCTTGCGCTCATCGTTCGTTGTAAATAAACTATAGATATTTATGCATTTACAAGGACTATTAAAACCACAGAATACAGCAAAATGCAAAAACATACGAAAAATAACCAAAACATAGAACTTTTTATAATATCCAATAGTTGAAACAAATCTCTGTATTTTTTTCATAAAAGTATATATTTTCATAATAAACATCCTCTGTCTAGCTCTGGAATACTTTATCGAATTCTTATCTATTTTTATAAAGACCTACACACGAGTTCTGCCCACGAAATTCGATCAAAGCGCAATGCACAACAAGCGGAGACTAATTTTTTCGTTAACCATTCGATGATCTTATCGATCATCTTTTATGAAAGAAGTAATGAATAGTCGTTTAAAGAATAATTAATCGTGAAGGAGATATCGTTGCTTAAACTCAACGTAGTGGCTTGCGTTTAAAAGAAAAGCGATCGCTTAGCAATAATGAAGTCGACGAAAGCATAAGATCTCGTATGATCATGCTTACACGAGATTAATGTCGCGACCAAACGACGAAAATGCAATTTCTTCGTACAGCAAATCCCATTCGATCATCGTCAGAAAAGCATCCTTTATCGATTCGATCGCCGATGCGGCCTGTACGAAACTTATACTCACGCACGGCACACGATATAGAGATACGGAGGAACTCAGAAATTGGCGACACAACCCCGATGTGCAGGCAGCAGCACGAGTGTGCCTTGAACTGGGCCAAGTGTATGATAATAAATAATTCGCACGCCTCACTCGATCCGGTTTAACGCAGGCTCGTCCTGTTATAGGCGTATACAGGGTGTTTCAAAAAATTGCTAACAATCGTTCGTTATAGCGCAGCCTATTAAACGTCTATGAAACGAATGCATAGAAACAGAAACTTATTCGTCGCGACGCGTATTAATTTACGATTATCTGAATATGAATAGGATATTTGAATCGAGTTAAACAGTTAAACCCGGTAATTCGTAAAATTCGATTACCAACAATTTTTGTCACGTTGTTAGTGTCGCGATAAATATTAAAATATATCGTGTATTTGTCGAAAGATAAGATGTTTGTTCAACTAAACAAACGATGCGTCGCTTTCTCATTTTTAATGTTTCCTTTCCGCTGAACCTCAAGCACCCCGTATTTTCTCCTTTCTTCTCTGTTCTTTTATTAAAAACTAACACTGTCTCGTAACGTACATAAGTTCGATAATTTCGTACAAACGTTCCGTACAATGTTCGAGGTTGAATTTTAAGACATCGAAGCATAGCTAGCTCAAATAATCCTACCATAAGCTGTTACTTACCTACGCGTATCATCATTTGCCTCCATCGATGTCGCAGCGAATTTTTCTCTCGTTCGTAGGATGCTTCGATCCGCTTTTTAAATACAGACCGAATAAATAATCCTTCGGGCACCTTACGCACGAAACTTCGACAAATAACCTCAAAACTGAGCTCGAAATGTTTCAATGATCGTGTATCAGCGCGCGTAAGTACGCTCTTATGCAGGCGCGTGTACTTGCGTCTCCAGCTGTCCCTTGTTATTTACGTGTCTCGGTTCGAGGAGCAACGACAGCGAACGAAGAGAACGCGAATTCGTTGCTCCGGAACAGGGAGAAAGGAACGAGAACAGTGAAAGAAAGAGGAAGAGAGAGGAAGAGAGAGCACGACAACTTGGTTCCCGCGTGACATTTATCTTTATGCCCGCTCATTTGCGCCCGCTTATGGTCGAGCACGTGCTACCCGGATCGATTGAACGGGGTCCGTGATGCCGCCTATATAAAGTCGAGTCTACACCTGACAAACGAGCTCGAACCAACGTTACAATCGAAAGAACGAACCTGGATAATATTTATTATCCGTTGCTTGACGATACAGCGGAGGAACGTATTTTATTAGATGAAACAATTTGATCTATTTAACAGATAGACCGTATAAACGAAGAACAACCGACAGAGTAGAATCTAGGTAGAAAGCTTCGTTTAATTAATATTATACATTTGTTAACAGGTAACTTACCTACTTTGCGCACTTCGTGCTTATTTTTCTATATTACCTGCATTCTATGCATTTCGCACATCCCATAAATGCATAGAGATCTAGTCTATGTGTATTTAGCTGGAAACAAATTTTAAAGAAGCTAAAAAGTTGCTCGTCGGTACGGCAAAGGATTATCTTTATTAAGTAGGATAATTTCATCTTTTGCTTCTCGTTTATGCTTTCGCTGAATAAACTAAAGATCATATTTCGATAGATACGTAATCAATTTGTAGCGACAATACGAAACTCGGGGAAATTTCTTCTTAAAAAAATGCAAAGGGCTGCTCTTGAACATAATACCACGTTATTTCGTTAATTGAATTCGACGACAAGACGAGTAAGTAATAAAAATAATGAAAAAACAAAAACACCTTAAAGAATCGCGAAATAATGATAACTTGAAAAGGACGGTTCCCAAATTGTATCACCTTTATTACGAGTCTGTGAAGTAAGTATATTTCAATTACACGTATATGTGTAGTGCGTGTCATAAATTTTGTGCTTGTCACCCGAAGACACGTCCTGGGAAAAAATCAATGTTAATCGAGTGGCATTAACGCAGATGACGTATTAACGGAGCAATATTAAAATCCGTGTCTCGGGAGAAGAAGAAAACGAGAGAAAAAGAAGGGAAAAAACGGGGAACCGAGGGACATTAGTCCGGGTCGGGTTCCGAAAAGCTGCAATCGGTTCGAGTTTCTGTAATCGGAGTTAAACGCGCCTCCAGGCAGTGCGTTTAAGTCGAAAAACCGCGGTAACACCGACGATACCTCTTAAACCACTTTAATGACGCATCGACGCATCGCGAATTTAAAATTACACTGACGACTTACTCGGTCCGCGCCGATAAAGATCGTTGCCGATGCAAAAACCGGCCTGACTCGGTCGCGCCGACTGATAAACCGCGATAAAACTCGCGTGTGCGCGTGTAGCAACAGTATCGTAGCGCAGCCTAGTTGTTCGTTCATGCACACCGAGCGCAGTGATTGCTGCGATTTCATTACGGACGAAACGTACGACTGACGATGGATGTCAGCTTGAATCGTGTAACATACAGTGATTGCCGGAAGTACTCGAACGCCAGCATAGAAAAAGCGTTTACCATTTTTACGAAAACACGACGTGTTTCCTACTTTCTCCGTACGGGTATAATCTTCAGGTGGAAATAAGAGAAAAACGTTGTATAGAGTCTGACTATAAAAGCTTCGTTACAGAGTTGAAGGCAAATATCGAACGTAGGCTGGATTTAGGTTTATCAACGCGTATTCTGCGGTAAGGAATGCGAACGATAGATCGTATTTACCTTAGTTCTATCGAAATTGTTCAAATGCTTCAACTTTCATTAAAGAATGCCATGTAGATGCGCTGATACACGCTCAACATCGATACAGCGTATAGTATACAGGGTGGTTGGTAACTGGTGGTACAAGCGGAAAGGGGGTGATTCTAGGCGAAAAAAGAAGTTGAAAATATAGAATAAACATTTTTCGTTCGAGGCTTTGTTTTCGAGAAAATCGACTTTGAATTTTCGCTCGGTACGCGTGCAACCGAGGGACATTAGTCCGGGTCGGGTTCCGAAAAGCTGCAATCGGTTCGAGTTTCTGTAATCGGAGTTAAACGCGCCTCCAGGCAGTGCGTTTAAGTCGAAAAACCGCGGTAACACCGACGATACCTCTTAAACCACTTTAATGACGCATCGACGCATCGCGAATTTAAAATTACACTGACGACTTACTCGGTCCGCGCCGATAAAGATCGTTGCCGATGCAAAAACCGGCCTGACTCGGTCGCGCCGACTGATAAACCGCGATAAAACTCGCGTGTGCGCGTGTAGCAACAGTATCGTAGCGCAGCCTAGTTGTTCGTTCATGCACACCGAGCGCAGTGATTGCTGCGATTTCATTACGGACGAAACGTACGACTGACGATGGATGTCAGCTTGAATCGTGTAACATACAGTGATTGCCGGAAGTACTCGAACGCCAGCATAGAAAAAGCGTTTACCATTTTTACGAAAACACGACGTGTTTCCTACTTTCTCCGTACGGGTATAATCTTCAGGTGGAAATAAGAGAAAAACGTTGTATAGAGTCTGACTATAAAAGCTTCGTTACAGAGTTGAAGGCAAATATCGAACGTAGGCTGGATTTAGGTTTATCAACGCGTATTCTGCGGTAAGGAATGCGAACGATAGATCGTATTTACCTTAGTTCTATCGAAATTGTTCAAATGCTTCAACTTTCATTAAAGAATGCCATGTAGATGCGCTGATACACGCTCAACATCGATACAGCGTATAGTATACAGGGTGGTTGGTAACTGGTGGTACAAGCGGAAAGGGGGTGATTCTAGGCGAAAAAAGAAGTTGAAAATATAGAATAAACATTTTTCGTTCGAGGCTTTGTTTTCGAGAAAATCGACTTTGAATTTTCGCTCGGTACGCGTGCGGTACGTTATAACGGATCTCGCTGTAGATCGTTGTCTCGATGGAAAAATGAAAAAAAAAATTTTTATTCTATATTTTCGACTTCTTTTTCACCCTCTT